AACCAAGGAGGTTACGCCCAGCGAGTATAACGTCGCAACCCTTTCTTGTCAGATAGTGCTCAATGTACATCCCAATGGCTGCTAATGGGGATCGCAGCGTGCGCGTTCACTAAAAGCCGAATGATCCTGTCTCTCATTTCCCATTAGAAGCCATCGGCATGTACATTGAGCACTATTTTTTATTGTTCAACAACGCAAAGAAGAAATCTCTTACCGGCACCACCTTGGAGATCAAAATGTTATACTTGTTACACACTACAACGGCTACGAGGGACGAACAAGTGCCGCTATAAGGAGTTTCGCCCCAAAATATAGGATTATAGAAAAGATTGCAGGGACTCAATGCTTCCTGCGTAACGCCGCAGTGCTGTCACTGCAACCAGCTTTTGCAATGTAAGTACTTAACGTGTCATTTTGCCATGACTTCTTCACAAAACTTCCAGTTCATTTAAATTCGCACTGTGTACAACGAAGCTCCAAACACAAGCTTGTTCACTTTTCTAACGTTTAAAAAATATTGCCAACCCCTAATGCTAACTCATAATTGGCCGATATGAACTATCCTTCAAGTGACTGAGCCCCGCTGCGGTGGTATAGTGGCTAAGGTACCCGGCTGCTAACCCGCAGGTCGAGGGATCGAATCCCGGCTGAGGCGGCTGCATTTCTGATGGAGGCGGAAATGTCGTAGGCCCGTGTGCTCAGATTTGGGCGCACGCTAAAGATTTCCGGAGCCCTCCACTACGTCTCTCATAATCATATGGTGGCTTTGGGACGTTAAACTCCACTCATCAATCAATCAGTGCAAGTGACTGACATTTCGTACACGACGCCAAACCACATTTTACGAAGGATCTGGCAATGCTTCGCATCGCACTGCAGCTTGTTTGCCCGGTGCGATGGCACAATAATCAAGCTTCCCTCGTGCACGGAAGATTGCAGGCTCGCCATACCTCACAGCAGCTGTTTTCAGGTCATGCGCAAGGCGGTGCATATAGGGAAAACTTGCGGCTTCCTTTGCTTAGGCCGAGTCTGTGTGTTGTTTCTCCCTTTGAATTTTCATAGCAAAGTTTTCGCTATAGCAAACAAAACAGTTCTGAGAAAGCCGGCGTTCTGTAGTCTGTTGGTCTGGACCCCAAAGCTTGTCTTAATGATAGGTTGATAGAAATGACAGGACTGAGCTGGAATGGGAATACGTTTATCACAGGAAAAAAAAAAAACAGAAAGAAAGGTTAGAAGCTGGTGGGTGCGGGGCTATACTGGTCTCTGGAGCCTGCCGTACGTTATCCTGGAGCGCCACGTGGGCCTCGTTTTCCTCACCGGTGAGCGATATGCCGCACTGTTTCGTCCTGAATTTTGGTGGCAAAATCTGAAGTGTTAATTTTCAGTGGCATTAACACACATTCATGGGATGTTACTGAGATAATATAGCTAGTGGAGCTTAAGAAGTTAATCAATAGGCGTAAGGTAGCCGACATCAGAAGGTATAAAATGGAGAGAATTGAGCAGTCTGTAAAAAGCGGCAGAAGCCTAAATGTTGCTAAGGCAAACTTGTGCATAGGCAAAAATCGGATGTATGCATTAAGAAATAAGAAAGGCGATGCCATAAATAATATGGATAGGATAGTTAAGATGGCAGAGGAGTTCTACAGAGAGCTGTACAGAAGTCAAAAGAACCAGGATGGTATTGTGAGAAACTATAATAGTCCAAGAGAATTCGACATCCTACTACTAATGACAGGGGAAGTAAAGAAAGCTCTAGAAGGAGTGCAAAGAGGCAAAGCTGCTGGTGAGGAATAAAGTAATAACTAACCTCCTGAAAGATGGTGGAGAAATTGTGTTAGAAAAAATAACCAGCTTATATACAAAGTGTCTCTTGACGGGAAGGGTACCAGAATATTAAAAGAACACCAACATCATCTTAATCCTTAAGAAAGGAGACGTCAAGGGCTTGAAGAATTACAGGCCGGTCAGCTTGCTGTTCGTTCTCTACAAAGTATTTACAAAAGTAATAGATGATAGAATTAAGGCGACATTAGAGTTCAATCAATCGAAGGACCAAGCAGGATTTCATACAGGCTATTTCACAATAGACAATATTCATACTATCAATCAGGTAATAGATAAATGCGTGGAATACAACCAATTCTTTTACATAGCCTTTATAGATTTCGAGAAGGCGTTTGACTGAGTCGAGACATCAGCAGTAATGCCGGCACTACGGAATCAGGGCATCGAAGCAACCTTCATAAACATACTGGAAGAAATCTACAGTGTATCCACAGCCACCATAGTTCTTCATAAAGAAAGCGACAGAATCCCAATAAAAAAGGGAGTAAGTCAGGCAGACACAATCCCTCTAATACTATTCATAGCGTATTTACAGCAGGTTTTCAGGGTCCTTGGTTGGGAAGAGTTAGAAATAAGAGGTAATGGAGTTAAGTCACAATCCAAGAGTTGGCAGTTCTCCACACCATCGGCAAGAACCAGCGTATGTGGTTGGATGGATCCCATGTTCAAAACGCGGGTACGGGTATGTATTTGTCTGCAGGCGTCGCCACTGATGCGACTGTTTTGGAAATGTAACCGCTTGCCTGTCACCTTCGTTTCCTGTGCATGTTAATTTTTTGGCTGGATGTGATTTCTTGAGCATAAATATGGACGCTTACAAAGAGGGCTCAACTGAAATCGATGACTACGCATCCAGCAATGGAAAGGAAAATGATAGGCGTAAGCTAAAGAGGCCGGAACAGAGCTGAATGGGTCAGGAAGCAATTTGGCGTTTAGGACCTCTTAGTCGTAATGAAAAAGATTGCGCATGGGCAGGGCATAGTAGCAGGTATATAAGATGGTCACTGGTCACTTTGAGTAATAAATTGAATTTATAAGAATGAAAAGGTGCGAGGGTGAGACAGAAAGTCAAGTGAGTAGATGAGGTTTAAGAGCTTGCGGATATTACTTGGTCGCAGCAAACACAGGACCGAGTTGCAGTGTAGAGGCATTTGTCGCCTAGTGGACGTAGTCAGGCTGATTCAAATGTTTTTAGTCATGATGATAGCGAAACTACTAGTGCACAAAAGAACACTGATGAAGTGCATTGTTTTGTGGTCAATTTATTCGGCCATGACCTTTTGTGGATTACTATTATCTCCCAGTACGCTACGCCGTACACCTCCTCTCTTTCTTTGTTTCCTTCTCCTCCTCACCAAAACTTCCCATCAGCTTCCCATTGTTGTGCTATGATATACACAGCTCCACCCTCTCTCATCCTTTCCCTCTTCTTTCTCACCCTTACATCTCTTTGCCTCACTTTTGTTTTGTTTCTTTAAATTGCAAATCAATTTTGTGAAATCATGCAATGTGGCGAAAGAGTCACTAATACTTTATCGCGAACTTCAGAGGCGCATCCGCCCAATGTCCGCCATGTATTGTCCTTTATAGCCGGGGAGTAATGCACCATGCAGTCCGACGCGATAAGCTTTTTCACGAGATGACCACAATGGTTTCCACGGTCTCGAAATCTTTCTTAAAAGGGAAAGTGGCGTCAGTGACGCCGACAACTCGCCCCGCTATTTTAATGATGAGTTCGGTGGACCTTTAGAGCTTTGCTGTGACTGACCTTTTGAGGCACCTTGTTGTCTGAGCGGGCGATTCCTCACCAAGCGGTATTCACACAATAAAGATTCATCTTGGTGCTACAGGCAAGCGGAGTGGCCACGCCCCAATGTTGGACGTTTAATAGGGCGGCTGTAGGCGTCACCCTCAGAAGTAGTGTGTCACCTGTGAGTGAACCACGTAATCTGGACCCATTCCCTGATCTAGGGATCTGAGGAGAATGTACACTTCATAGTGATCCATTGTCCTAATTGGCCAAAGTTTTCTCGCCATGTATACAACGTAACAAATCCTTTGGTAACTTTGCTCATTGCAGCCTGTATCCTCTTCATCCATGGTCATCGGTGGCTGCGAAGGGTGGTTTCAAGACCCACTAGCTTGAACATGTACATTGCCAAGAAAACTGGAAGAACATCTCAGCTTCGCCTTCAAAAGTAGAATGCGACAACATTGCTCAAAAGTACCAAAAAAAAAAACGTCTGTGCGTGTACCAATGGCCGTTTCAAACTGAGTGTTCGCAAGAATTACACTGGGGAATTGATCACTACGCGCCAGTAAACATGCCAAACATGCGCAGATGCACGCAATAATAAGGGTGAACAGCTTTCGCCAACTAATCGTCGCGCGAGTGACATGGTCGTACGCTTAGCGCAAATCTACGATTCTGCCAGTTTCTGCCGCGCAACATTACATGCTGTAAGAAGATTCCTCCCATTACGTGATATTCCTATAGATGTTTTTTTGTTGTCAAGCAGTTTTACGCACTGGCATGGCGCCTAGGTAGAATACTTGTTTGTCACGAAGATGGACTCGTTTTATTTCTCACTTGAATCGAATATTTTTGATTATTTAATCATTTGTATATAATTTATTTGACTTTTTGCTCACGGAAATCGTTGATCTTGCGCGCACAGTCAACAAAACTATGTGTAAACGTGAAAGGATAAAGCGACGAAAATGGACAAAGCGTTTACTTTGACGTTTGGGCAACCCATACGCGCTTTGCTTGGAAGAAAAGCCACAAGAATTGCACAACGAATAAGTACGCCTTAAATAGGCAGCGAGAGTAGATTGTCAGAAGCGCCACGTCACTACTGTTTTGCGTGTGGGTATATGATGAAACTCCTGTGCAAGTACCACATTTTGACACACAAGCTTAGTCGCAGATCTGGGCTTGATTGCGAAAGAACTGAAACGTTCAATCGCAGCACATAAATGCCGTGAAGGCTAGTTTTGATTTCGTAACGTTACGTTGTTACGCCAATCTGTGCTGTCGATAAACGTATCTGTTGCTTTTGTAAACATTTATTGCAGGCTTTCTGGTTAACCTCCCTGCATTTCTTCACAGCATCTCTCTCTTTTTATAGCAGGCGCAAGCTCACATTGAGAAAGACAGCGTGCTCGTAACTTCAAGTGGTGGAGCAGTAAAGAGTGCCGGCCATGACAGTGACGTACACGGCCGAGGTAGCCACATCCAAGGGTTTCGGATGCTTCTGGAGGTTGCTTCTCAGGTGAGTGCTGTGTTGTCGTGCTACAATAATTCGATTTGATTTCTTGCAGCCCCTTTTGAGATAATGCTACAATACAATCCAGAACCTATCGCGTATATTAGGGCAAGAAGGGGGACATTAGGTGACTTGACCAATCTGCTCCACCATGTGCGTCGCGTTCAAGGAGACACAATCCCAAGGTTCGTTTTAAAAGAATACGAAAGGGAAGAATGATTTATTCACGTATTAAAGGGGTCGTGAAATGATCGCTGTAAAGCGACAGTATCAAGTACTGTAAATCGTTAAACCTTTTTTTTTCTAAACACAATGCGAAGCCACCGGCGTCCACACGCACTAACTAGGTGACGTCATCATAAGTAATGCTTTGCATATCGAGGAACGCGGAACTCTTCGGTACTTGCGAGTGCATGCAACTGGGACACTCATCAGTGTCTTTGTCATACGCAATCGGCACTAACTTGAACTCTGACGTCATATTAAGCAGCGTCCTTGTGGGACACGGATCGCTTATGGCAGGCGCCGATCAGCGCCTCTTGCGCGTGCTCGATATGCCATAGAGTTCCGCGTTCCTCGATAAGCAAAGCGTTTATGCAGGTCCACTCGGGCTGATGACATAGTTGGCGCATGTAGCTGCTGATGGTGCCGCATTGTCGTTGTAAAGCGGCCGTTTCACGACCCCTTTAAGTAAAATTTCGCAATCCTAAGAACGCCATTATTAGCGCGAGCCGACACTTGGTAATTGAGAAAACGTGAGGAAAGAAAATGTGGGTGTAAACGCGACCTTTGAGATTCTCGCAACAAACACCGTGACGTCGAAGATCTTCACGAAGTCCACTAGGTCCTACGTCATTCTATAATGGGTAAAATTGAAGTACAACTTCATCTTTGGGGGCCATAGACATGACGTACAAAGTTTCAGGAAATTTCATCGAGTCAATGTCGCGAAAGTACGAAAAATATATTTTGGAATTCATGACATCGCATACAGAGAGTTCGGCGGAAAATTTCAAAGTGTGATTCCAACCTTTATTTTCTGCTCTAGTAATGAAGTTATGATGGTGAAAGTAGTGGCATTAGAGTTGCTCAGTTTATCAATCTGTTGGATGCCGTGTCGGTAGAAGCACGCATTCCATCGTGAAACGTAATGGTTCGTTTAGTTGGTATACTCGGCGAGAACGTTTTTTGGCACTTAAGGGAAAGCTACGAAGGTGGAGCTTCTGAACATGTAGCACTACGCGAAGTAGTCCGTCTTGGCGCGCTTCTCGTAACGCTGTGGAAAGTGACGGGGGCACACCATTTGCGTTGCATGTAGATGAAGTAGCTGTTTAGCGTTTGAGGTGCTTGTAAAAAGGCGCAACTTTCTCACGCGTTCAAAAAACGCGAACTCGCAATGAACAAATTGAAATTCGACTGTCTAAATTGTGGGAGCTGCGTTCTGTTTCAAATAGCTCGATGATTTGTGGGGTTTAACGTCCCAAAACTACCATATGATTATGAGAGACGCCGTAGTGGAGGGCTCCGGAAATTTTGACCACCTGGGGTTCTTTAACGCGCACCGAAATCTGAGCACACGGGCCCACGACATTTCCGCCTCCATCGGAAATGCAGCCGCCGCAGCCGGGATTTGAACCCGCGACCTGCGGGTCAGCAGCCGAGTACCTTAGCCACTAGACCACCGCGGCGGAGCCTGTTTCAAATAGCTCCACGTAGAAAAAAAAATAAAGGAACACTTCTGTATTTCAAGGTGAAAATACGGGTGCTGTTATAGAAGTACATTTACTGGTGGTAGGATGCCCGCGATTTGGCTCTGTACCCTTCGCTACAACGCCAAGAAAAGTTGTCGCTTAGTGTAGCAGTAGTGGGGCGCGCACGCCGATGCTGTGATCGCACGGTTAGAGAAACAGAAGAGGAAAGCGAGCTTGGCCGCTTGGGTTATATAACCACCAGTGGGGACGTAGGTTTCGGTGAAGCTGCGGTGGCGCAGTCCCTTATCGGAAGCGCGTTGCAGCAAGAGGCCGTGTCAAGCCGCGCTAACCAGTGACGAGACGGAGGCTGCGCAGGTTTGTGCGCAGTGGTCGCCACAAATCTAAAGCAAATCATTGTTTCACTTTGGTGTCCTTTTGAAGCACCTGTGATCGTAGAGCGCCGTGGATGCACATGGAGTACGTCTGTTCTCATTGTGCGTGATAGGGACGGCTTAATGCTCTCCCACAGTAGAGAACAAAGTGGTCTAAATCGTCAAACAATTTTTCTAAACAAGAACTCCGCAACTAACAGCAAAGTAACAAAAAAGAAGTCCACAGATGTCAGTTGCGTGTTATGGTCAGCACTGAAAGCAGACGTGATTTAAAGCTAACAATATCGGGGTTCGAGATAGTTGATACCCTGCCCCACTTGTTGGGCAAAAAAAAAAGGAAAGAATGAGACAGATATGGTGAAGCGCAATCTTCCAACGGAGTATATATATTATAGTGATGCTGAAGCACACATGCATACTGAAACAAACTTGTTTAATAAGAGTGGCGAGGTTTCGGCTAGTTGGTAGGTCATGACGACTGTTATAGCGTGAGCTCACAACGACGACAAAAAGGACATAGCCCCCGTCCTTATGTCGGCGTTCTGAGCTCGCGCTGTAGCAATAGTAGTGCTTATGAAGGGGTCGCATCTGTTCCCACAGATCAAAATGACTGTGACTGTAAAACTGCGAGCCAGTAAAACATTAAAAGTGTCCTTTCATTGTTTTTTTTTCTCTTCGGGAGAAATCCTGAGCGCGTGGCCAATACGAGCCGGGTCTGGCCAGGTGCTCGTGCTACGATAGCCTATAACTGTATATATAAATGTAAATTACCAATGCTACAGTTGCCTAGTGCCGTGTCTACTGCACTACCGCGTATGAACTAACTACTGCCATAGATTTAGCGCCTTCTTGAAGAAAGTCTTTCCCTTCTTTGTACGTAATATTGAAGTCTCATGCTCGCGTGGCTGCTACAATATGAAACTTCACTATGCACAGGTACGCAGGCTAACTATCAAATTAGCAGAGTGTGTCTGCTAACAAAAATTAATTCTCCAGAGGCTAATTTCACCCGAAATTGCGCTCATGCGAGTTTCCGCTTTTTCAATGTTTTTTTGAACGTTGAAACAAACGCCAAGTTGTTTTTTTTTTATTTAAACCAAGTCATTCTAACATTTGATGCGCACTAGACGTTTTGCGTTATCTATACGAATCGTTTGAAAGGCTGGTGAGATCAGTGAGACCCGGGCCCTGTAAATACATTATAAAGCTTTGATTTTACGATTCCAGTCGAGTACTAATGTGGGCATGCCGCATCGACATGGAAAATTGACAAGCTGACACTATACTTCCTGTCTTTTCATAGCTGTATACAAAGACGCAGCTCCTGAAGTGTCTCGTTTCGCGTGCGAGTCATTCGATTTCTCGTTACCCGAGAACGGAGACGTCGTGAGGTAGGAAACACTGTAAGAGAAAAGAAGTGCACACATCTTTTCGTTACTTCAGTGGTAATGGTAGGTTGGAAAGTATTAAATTCTATTGAAAAGTCCCACCCAGCGAAACAAAGCCGGGCCAACCAAAAGAAACCCGTATCGTCAAATACCTACGTGGTACGTGCGTTGTATATAGGAGGTAAATTGAAACGTGATGACTTTGTTCTAAAATTTTTTGGTTAATAAGTGACTTTTTTCTAGAAAATTAATTGAACACAATTATTGAAAATCACTTGGAAGTTCCATTTGGAGCTAATGCCTCTTTTTATCATAGAAGAACAGCCCATATTGTAAATAAAGATAATGACACGTGATGATTACTGTGCAGCAGTGGCTTGCTTGTGTTTTCTTCTCCGGATCCTAATGACGTGTGATTTGTATTTCTTTGTTCAGGTGGCGGGGCAGTATATACAAGCTAGTGTGGCCGGACCTATGCGTCTATTTGATCGCCTACTACGTGCTCAATCTTCTCTACAGGTTTGCGCTCAGCGATGACAACAAATTGTAAGTCACGGTGGGGCGGCCGCTTTCATGTTCGTCGTTTATTACTATTGTACGTATAGCGCCTAGTTGAGCAAACAAAAGCCTCGTTGTCCTGTAAGAGAGTGTTGTCCTGTCTTTCAGTGAGGACGTTGCTTGCAGAGCCATCTCTGTTACCGCGCGGCTTGTAATGAATAACACCTTGCTTAACACCTGCAGTGCATTACCGTAGGTACGGTTCGTGTTTAGATGACATATGTTATACGGTGTGCCATAGCCATGGCCTGTGTTTATTAATTATTATATTTTGAAGCAAAACTTTCATTGTGTGTTGAAAGTATTACTTATACGGTTCCCGGAGGAGTGAAGGGCAGCTATAGTCGAGAGCTGTATGACGGCAAGAGTGGACCCGTGAAAAGGGTGATCTGATCAAGGGGATGGTATGTGTACGCAGTGCCTGTTGGTTGCTGTCCCCGTCCTTCCTTTCCTCCCTCTTCCTCCTTCTTTTGGTCGCGCTACGAATGACGTTATTGCAGTGACGGCGAAAGGAGTATAGTGCTTCGATCGAAGCGTCACGTGTCCCTTTGGATTGGTGCGCTACCTAAAGCTTAGCGAAGCACACGTGGATGCTTCACGTGACTCGCTGAAGAAGCACTAGCGAGAGCTGGCTTGGTGCACTCTCGGCATGACGACACGCGTCCGGCTCATCACTTTACCTTGTGCCATGGTGTACGATATAAGGCGTACCATATTACCGCACTAAGCTTTCTAGGGAACATGACGGCGACGGCATTTACAAGGAATTCCCTCGGAACGCCTGCGTAATTGCCAACGCCATCGAAGAGTACTCAGGTTGAGATCACTTGCTGAAGTCCTTGTCCCTGTGCTACTCCGGTTTGTTGTAACTATCCTTGCTGGCGTGACGTGAACGGCCATATTACCTCGTCTACAACATATCGGTATGTTATGCACCGTAAAAAAATAACAAATCTTACTCAAAATAAACAAATGAGCGCAAAAACATGATATCACACTGAAAAAGTGGAAATGACATGGTAAAGTACAGTTTGCTTGAAGCTGTTCGCACTCCAATAAAATGTTGACAAGTGGGCATTTCTCTTTGTACTCGCAGTAGATATACTAACAGATCATTCCATATATCACAACAGCGAGCTGTACATCACAAGTGCATATCCGGTATGGTGTCCTCTACGATGTCTTTCTGGAATATTCTTACCTTTTTTTTACTAAATTCTACAACGTGAAACGCCGTCTGTCCAAACTTGCTAGTTTCTTTCCTCAATTTTGCTCTTTCATTTGCGTACTTGCATGCACTCCAAAACGTAATGACCAACATTCTCATCTTCATAACCACATAGCGTTCTGGCGAGCTGGGTCGATGTATATTGATGCAGGAAGCTGTTTGTATATGCTAGTTCCACTCGAAGTCTGTGGAGTAAGGTATCTAAGTTTTGTGGGACATCTACTACTTATGTCGATCAACCTAATCAAGTAATGATTGCTTTTGATTCAGGGCTATGAAACCACTTTTCCATAGAACAGTGGTTAGTGGAGTAGAAAAGATGAAGTGTGCTTCATTGCATATTCGCGATTAGACCGGAAGTGGAATTATCGTGAGGATGCACTGCCCCCCTACAGGTTCTTCGAACAAGTGTGCGTCTACTGCGGCAACTTTGCCGACTTGATTCCGGTGTCGTTCGTGCTCGGGTTCTACGTGTCGGTGGTGGTCAAGCGCTGGTGGGACTGCTTCACCGCCATCCCGTGGCCCGACTCGCTAGCCTTCTTCGTCAGCACCTTCTTGCATGGACAGGTACACACGACTCGCACAGATCTCGAGCATCGCTTCCTGCATCGCTGTTCGTGCTTGCCAAGTCTCCGGCTACCTGCGCACCACCTTTGCCTGCAGTACGTGCTTCCCTCAAGCCTTCCTCTATATTGTGCTGTCTGGTTGGCTGAAGTAATCACAAATAACTTATAAACGGGGTCAGGTGGTAACACTTATCATTGCGTGCAAGTTTGTTTTCTAGCAACCCGGGGAATATACAACCGTACCGCAATGAACCTGCAAAGTACGTTGTACGTTGTGCCGCGCAATGAAGGCTTTTCGCGACACAGTGTAGTTGCAATGCCATGTGTGACGGCTTTCAGTGCACCGCAGTGCAATAAGGTCAGTGAAAAAAAGAATACGGACTCAGTGTCAACGGTTGTTGGATGTTAGCGCCTATGTGTAGAAGGAAACTGTTTTGACTGTAAATCCACGGGGTGCTCATCAAAAATCACTCAACTCACAGTTGGCTATGCACTCTGGAAGCGCATGCTGACTGTGGTGAGAAAAGTTCCTGTGAGAGACAAAGATTTATTGTCGCTGAAAGCTGAGAAGTTGGCTGAAATCAATTTCCTGACCTACTACCCGGTGTTAGGCTAGGGGAACTCACTAGGTCAAAATCTGCCGATGTAGTTTTTTTTTCTCATCTAAAGAAGTATGGATGTCAGCGGTTGTTCACTTGCTTTTATGGCACTATTTATCGTGCTTTATCATTCCAAATTTTGAAGGAATCAATATTTCCTCACAGTAAACTGTGTGTGCACCAGCGGAATATAATGGTTTTTCAAGAAAAGCATGACTTAGGTGAGGGAGTTTTGATGAGCGCATCCTTCGTTTACATTGACCTTGGTAAATTTCCGGAGCCCTCCACTACGGCGTCTCTCATAATCATATGGTGGTTTTGGGACGTTAAATCCCACATATCAAATCAATCATATTGAATTGAACTTGGTAGATTCATTTTCTGAAGTTCCTTGATCAGTGGTTCTTTCTTTTCGTCCGCTGTTTTAAGACCACAAAGCTTCTTGCTGCGGCAAGGATGAAGTTGAGGCATGTTCACCAACACCCATGGTTACCACAAATTCTTAGCCGTCAAGCTGGCACAGTTTAATAGGAGTGGTGGGGCTCCTCTCTATGGTAATTCCCTTAGACAACACTGCAACGAGCACCCTGGCTGATAACCGTGCCTACCTATACCTTGAGTTCGCTACTCTTTCGCTACTGCTTCCCAAAGCCCTGGCTTCTTCGCACCGCTGCCTGCGTGTCTGTGCTTGCTGATAGCATTCTACTATCGTTGATGTTGACAGAAAAAATGTGTTCTCATTATTTTCACAATGACGTAATTGTTCATGCTAGTGAGGAGGTTTTCTATGAGGCCAATCTACTTGTACTTGAAATGGCCCTATTAATTGTCTTTATATGGTGTGCCTTCGTTCTTTCGGAGATAACACGTGTGCTGAACGCACATTCGTATTGCGGAACTGCAAGAATGCCCCTCGTAAGTACAAAGGTGGCTGCGCCAGCGTTGTTGAAAAGCGAGCTAGAAGTTTATGAGGTCAAAAACAATTAGCAGAAATTTCTATATCGGGGATAGCAACTCTTACAAGCGTGATAAGCCATGAGCGCCAGAGCGATAGTTGTGGCAAAAAACTAGCAAAAATACACAGAAAGAACAATCTTCGAACCTCTTCGAAGAGTAGAGTGTTTATTGTATGCTGTGAGCTTTTAGAAACACTTTTCCTTGCTTCGCCATACGCGTGCTGCCGAAAAATGCGAGCGCGCAACGTGGGTGCGATGTATAAGAGAGTGCCAGTCTGCGGCTGTAACGTGACGCAGGACGAACGTGGTCGGCTGATGCGTCGCACCATCATGCGCTACGCCAACCTGTCTTCCATCATCACCCTGCGCTGCATCAGCCCACCCGTCAAGAAGCGCTTCCCGACACTGGACCACCTCGTCGACGCTGGTACGTGTGCCTTGCTCTCTCTCTCTCTCTCGCATAGCCCCATATTTTGGACCAATCACCGTAAACGTGAATATGCTTATCCTGTCCCCTAGAGGCCTTACCACATGTAAGTGTTGCAGCCCGTCAGCGCTTGGACTTTTGACCTGGTGCTGCACCCCTTCCCTATGGAGTGAGAGGACGCGCGGCTACACGAAGTTGGGCGTCCACTCTTTTAAAAGGGGGAGAGCGTGGGGCCGCGTCATAAGGAAGCTTTAGAATAACGTTTGCAGGCGCTGCGTGCGTTGCGGGCATAGTGGGCACCATATGAGTTTTAGAATAGCGTTTGCTCCCCATAGGAAAAAGTGTAGAGACCTTCGCCCTGACCATAATTCCAAATGCATGGAAGGTACGCACAGCACTTCGCGGGCTTCGCGGGCCGTGGTCACCGCATGCTATTTCGGATTTTCTGCGGGCGGGCCGCGAACGCGAACGACGACTCGCGTTACGACGCATGCGCAGTGGCAGCGACAAGGGCTCGCGGTGCGCTATTCTAAAACTACCTACGGGCTGTAACGCGCACGTGTGGTCAGGCTTTAACAAAATTCAGTTGGGAAATTGGTAGGAACCCGATAAGACACGCTACAGAAAGCGGTGGTCGCTACGTTTGTGCAGCTTGAGTACCGTAGCCAGCTCATGTATACGTATGGTTTTCGCTAACAGGGTACTAAAGAGGCCTTGCGAGCGTACGTAGCGGGCTACGATCCTAAGGGTGGCTTCTAGTATACGAAATAAAGCGATGAAGTTAGTCAATCATAAAGGGTGAGTGTGGTGCAACGACAAGTGAGCTGGACATGAGACAGGCTGTGTTTTTGTTCGAACTAAAATGTATCATATGAGAGCCAGCGTTCTCAAGTATATACGACGAAGGCGGCATACTTTCATCGGCAAACGCACCGTTGCGCACGGAGGCCCCAAGACGCTACGATCAGTTCACGAAACAGCGGAAGGGTGCCCCGGTGCGCTCCAGTGCGAATCGATGAAGATTCCGTAAGGAAGTGAGGGAGGCACTTCTGTCTCATTACGTGTATTGAATGCGAAATCACGGGGTGTCTATCTGAGATGACAATATCGACAATAATATCACGTGGCGTTGTCACAGAACTAATGGGAACTAATACACAACGATGCCAATAAAAGTCTACGTATGTTGACAGTATAGTAATCCTAATGAAAAGGGGAACAAGGAAAAGTGGACGAAAAGATACCTTGTCTCTGGCAGGTAACGAACCTGCCACTTCCGAATGACGCGTCTGATACTGTACCAACTGAGCTACAGCGATGACCATTCTTTCTTGAACGTTATGGAATACATATATGTATTTAAACGTGGGAGTGTCAGTCAGCACCGCTAGAAACCATGGCGGCGATTATGAAACATGATTTCTTAGAACAATATATTTTTCTAATATACGACATTAGGATTACTAGAATATGCGCATTTGGCCTAACCTGCATTTGTTCAGACTTGTTTGTCGATGTTAAAATCCTTTGAATACAGAAATGCAAATACACCCATGAACTCATTGAGGCCTTCTGCACCAAAAGATTTAGAAAGGCCTGCGTCAGTGAGCCGTCATGTCCCGGCTTGAAAGAGACACCCTCAGCATATGCGTTGATGCGTAGTATTTCGTATCCTTTGCGGTTCCTTGCCTACATTCTGATGTGCCTATCTGTTCAGCTGGTAGTTTAGGGCATGTTACATTTGTTTGTATAAGCGTTTTGCAGAAACGTGGAGGTTTACAAACAGGGTTTAGCCTAAATTGAGGACACACGAATGCACCGAGCGATGGAAAGCAAAATGATAAATTTGAACCTTAAGAGACAAGAAGAGAGAAGAGTGAATCAGGGAACAAACAACCAAGTCAAGGATATCATTGTTGAAATGAAGAAGAACAAAAGGATAATCCGGGCATTTAGCGTGTAGGCAGGGTAACCACTGATCACTACGGCTAACTGATTGGATTCCCAGAGAGGGCAAGCGGGTTAGGGGCAGAGAGAAATTCAGGTGGGCAGATAAGTGTAAAAAGTTTGCTAGTATAAATTGGCAGCAGCAAGCACAGGACCGAGTCGACAGGCGGAGATTGGGAAAGACCTTTGTCTTGCAGTGGACGTACTGAGGCTGATGATGATGATGATGATGGGTGAATATTTAAGGTGTGTCAGTAGTATTATAGCACGATAATTCATATTGTTGCACTGAATGGTATGCAAATGTTGATACATGTTTTTTTAACAAAAGCTACGTTTCCCAACAACATAATATTGAAAGCAACTTTGGTAACACAGGTGGAATACCGGTGGCGTCTGTGTTTTCTTAAATGTATTCATTAAATGTAAGCAATCGATTTCCACACGTTCTTTTGTATTGAAGAGTGTAGATATCCTTAAAAATGCACGTTTGCCCTATTAAAGTTCGGCCCATAATAAGTGCCACTGCAGTCGGTTCCAACCAAGCCTCCGTATTCAGAAACGCTCTTTTGCCACCGTCTTCAATGCAGCACACACGCGTTTCAGACGGAATATCTTTGGGTGGTGCAACTGCCGCGCAAATTCGTTTAAAATGCGCTGCCATGTTGATGTGTCGTCGTTGCAGGGCTGTTGCTTGGCAACGAGCGGGAGGTGTTCGAGCAGCTGAAGACAAACCACTCGACGTACTGGATGCCTCTGGTGTGGGCTTCAAGCATCGCTTCGCGGGCACGAAAGGAGGGACGCATAAGGGACGACTTCGCGCTGAAGACAGTCGTCGATGTAAGTACCTTTCCTTCATCATTACGTCGCCTGGTCTTCTTTAGTTCGTGGGGACACTGCCGCGACATGGCGTGATTATTGAGTGAGCTACTTCACGTGTACAATCTGTGGGCGTGAATTTGTTTTCATTGTTAGTGCTGTTACAGTCATATTAATCGTATACTTTCAATTTTAGTTGCACATGTTTATGGGCTAGATGATGCATTATTTCAAACACAAACACACACACACACACACACACACACACACACACACACACACACACACACACACACACACACACACACACACACACACACACACACACACACACACACACACACACACACACACACACACACACACACACACACACACACAAAGAGTTTTTCAAAGAAAAAAGTTACAGCTTTGCCACAAATGCAAAGCAATGAAAACGGTTTTCCGCTGCGTAGCACCAGTCTACGCGGGCTTCTGCGTAGCACCAGTCTTGTGCCACTCCTTTCTTGGCAGCATTGACAGAGCGTTGTTGGAGATTTCCGGTGAGCATGAAGCGTTGAAGTGTTCTGGGTATGTTAATGGTCTTTTAATTATTGAAAGAGAGGCTTCTCCCTATCAACGCACTGCGCAGGACGTTTTACCCCCTTTTCAAAGTAGAAGCCAACGGCTTAGAAATCACCTACAAATTAGCACAGTACTGCAAGTTGCAGTTTTTAGATATTGAAAAATCTTTCAATAATGAAGGCGTTTGCTGGATGTGTCGCCCACATATGCGTCACCCACGTGAAATTATTAATGCCTTTCGATACCACTCATTCAGAGATGGTGAAGCGTGGGATAGCGCTAATGTATCTGCAAGCACCACTAAAAATATCCTGGGACCATAAAATGCAAGAATGCCTAGAAGACCAGGTCCCGAAGTTCAAACAGGATGGCTATCCACCCATGGTTTCCGCCACAAGGTTATTAAACGCTGCTGGCTGGAAACCTTCTTGAAAAAAAAAAATGAAAGGCAGAAGTTAACACTAAGGTTGGGCAGTGAGAACCTTCTAAACAAAAGAAAACGAAACGCCAGTCGCATACATATAATCGCTTAGATGCACAAAATAACCCATAACCTGAAAGACCTGGCTGCGAAGCACAGTGTTCTGGTGTTTTTCTTCTGCCCCATAAAGATAGTCTTTGAGTGCTGTAAAGCAGATCCACCATACAAACAAAAACATATGAGAACCCCAGGTGGTCAAAATTTCTGGAGCCCTCCACTACGGCGTCTCTCATAATCATATGGTGGTTTTGGGACGTTAAACCCCACAAATCAATCAAACTAGAACATATGCCTAAAAAAGCATGGAAACGCGTCTGTTGAATGTGCGGTAGGTGTATCTGATAAGATTCCGCTGACACGTGGGAAGTCATATATTGACCAAACTGGCCTATGCTTAAATGATCGTTTTGCCGGTAATAAGCGTGAATACAGAATGGCATGGACCCGCCACTGTGGTGTAGTGGCTAAGTACTCGGCTGCTGATCTGCAGGTCGCAGGATCGAATCCCGGCTGTGGTGGCTGCATTTTCGATGGAGGCGGAAATGCTGTAGGCCTGTGTGCTCCGATTTAAGTGCACGTAAAAAACCCCCCGGATGGTCAAAATTTCCGGAGCCCTCCACTACGGCTGGCTCTCATAATCATATGGTGGTTTTGCGGCGTTAAAGCCCACATTAGCCAAATGGCGTGGGCGTCCTCATGCCCTATTATTCAAAGGCCTGAGTCGGGAATGATAGAAGAAAGTGCGATGCGAAACTGAAAGAAACAAAGACCTTGAGCAGAAGCAAAGAAGACAGCCTGTGAACTGATTGAAGCTTTTTGTATCGATAGACGCAACAGCAGTTGTACCATTTTGATTGCAATTTCTAAAAGTGAATGTGCGTTTTCGCATGCATTGTGCTGCAATTCGGGTTTTGATTGCAGATACGCTTTTCGAAGCTTGATCTGCGCATGTGAGCTTTCTTTTCCTTTTTGTTTTTTTCCCTTTTTTAAATATTCATTCGCCTGAAGTGTGAATCCAAAAGTTGTAAATGTACGTAGGTATTATCGTGTCTGTGTTTCGTGTGTTTCCTTTCTTGCGCAAACCTTCCTTTAAGAAAAAAAAAAGCATTTCGTTCTACAGCAAAACAAATGCCTAAAATGTACTGCCCATTCTTCGTCGACGGAACCCCGTCTTGGTAGGTTATTTTTCTGGAGTAGTCTTAAGATATCAATTTGCTCTTTTGCCCTGCTTCTAAAACGCTGTAGCACCTGTATCAAACAACCGAGAATGAGGAATCGTTATCATAAGTAATAATTTATACTCTCGCAAGTGTAGGTCTCCTCGTTGTCATCAACATTGAAGGGGCACTAAAGAGAAACGATTATTGGGTTACGATTGATACACTGCTCTCTGAGAACTCAAGCTTCATAGGTTTTACTGTCATAAGTTCAATAATAACGGAAAAAATAAAGGCTGAGGTTTTAAAATTTGCCTCTGAAATTTTCGTACGTGACATCCAAACTTTCGAGATGTATTTTACGTATTTTCATGGCATTGGCTCAATAGAATTTTCTCAAACGTCGTGTGCGGGGTTCAGGGCACCCACAGATGACATTGTACTTCAGTTTTGTTGATTACAAGCTACAAGGACACAGAACACGCCTTGAAAATCTATGACGTCACGGCGTTTGGTGCGGGAATTTCAAGATGGCGTGTCCACACGCATTTTTTTTTCGTGCCTTTTTTCGCTTACGAAGCGTCGTGTTGCTGTAAGGGTGGTGTTTTCAGGATTTTGAAATTGTACTTTACTAACACGTTAAAAATAGTTTTGCTGTTTAGTGTCTGTTTAGCATCAATGGTGTCCTTTTCAATCAAGCCTCACGCTTACAGAAAATCGTTTCTTGAATATTCCACTCCTAACTGAATAATTTTGCAGATTAACAAAATAAAATGACGTAGTTTCTGCTGCTTTTGTCAGATTTGTCACAATTCGTCTTGTGAAACTTCTTTGAAACTCAAATCAGCAACATTTATTCATCTATCTGCAGGAGATCGCCCGCTATCGAAGTAACTGTGGCAGCTTGTTCAACTACGACTGGATCAGCATACCCCTCGTATACACTCAGGTCAGCAGAGAATTCTTTTTGCGGGTTCTGTCTGCAGTAACCACGGCGCTCGTCGTTCTTTTGTCAACAAACAAGTGAAAGAGCTGGGAAACCTCTCATACTTGGTGCTTTTCATTGGCAGAAAAAGCGTGCCTGTTGAAAGATGCTATCGTTATCTCATGTAAAAATACTTCTATCTGTACTCGTGAACCTGACAGAGAAAGAGCGAAGACGACTAGCCATATTCACCGCTTGAAGCGACACCGAGTGCGACTGTTGCAGCAGGAAAGGAAAATACTGTAAATGAAGAGGAGAGCAAACATTAAGCAAGAAGAGGAGCACACTATCCAAACTCTTTCAGCATTACCAACAATAGTATTACGCCATAACTGGGAATAACTGCAGTGCTTCTGTTTGTACGCCTCACGTTGATTAGGTGGACGACTTCTGGCACGACTATCATGCACGGCTTTCATGTGCGTGCTTATTCCTTGTTAGCTCGGAAAAAACAACGCGAAAAGGACGAAGGCATAGACACACGCGTACACGTAATAGCTTCCAGTGACCAATTAGTTTTCTTACCTGACGGTTTTGTTTGGCAATTTCTTTGGGAAGGTGTGCGCAGTCTGGTGCGATGTAAAAAGAGTGGCTGGTGTAATAAACATTTCATTCACAATTTGAGTGCTCTTATGAGTACAGGGCTCATTTGTTCTCATTCTTTTTGCGCGGTCTTTCCCCAGCTAAGAATGAACCTACTCGCCCTAATTAATTCTTGTTAGTTATTGTGCCTGCGAAGTTCTCAATTGCGTCACTCAGCCTGACTCGCTGCCTTTCTTGGCTTCTCTTACCCTACCAAGCTCTGCAAATGGGCTACGGGAGCGATTTTTCTTCCATCGGCTTCATTGGCTATAGTTATTCGTGTAATCCCGAGAATGTTAGCCGGCGCCACTCGTAGATATAGTAGTGAGAATGCAGCAATACTTTGTGCCGGCTAGGGTTACTGTACCACATCATCTTTTCACAACCTGGCAGCTGGCCCATGGACCCCGCATAATTTCTGAATGCATCGAGCCTGTTTGAATGAGATGAGACCTTTGAAATAAAAAAAAAATGAAAGAAGGGAATAAACCGGGTCTTGCTTCTTATCTGTGGCTGGCAGTGAAGCACGCTGAAAGAATGAACCAAAAGATTTCACACGCGTTTCTTCCTTACGTAGCTGGCTTTCTTTCTTCACTCATTCACACAACGTCGGCCTGTGTGCCACATGCAATTCGCAAGAATTTGGTGATACGGCATGAGGGGGCAGGGGAAAGTCATGATTGATTAAGCTGAAAGCTCTCATAGGGGCCTTATGCATTCACCTAAGAGGACTCGAAGGTGAGACCCAGCTTTATTTTCTTCTCACTTGACGCATTGATAATCAACCGACGTTCTAATCACCTAAAAGCTTTCTGCATCGAACGGGATTTTGGAGCTGCTTCCTGGACTGAAAGGCACTGCAATCTTTGTACGTGGTGGCTTCTGTTTATGGTGCTTGAATAATGACCCGAAGGTCGAAGGATCGGATCCCGAGCGAGGAGGCCAAATGTTCGATAGGGGCGAAAATGATCAAGGTCCATGTATTTAGGTTTAGGTGAACGTTGAAGACGCCCGTAGCCTAGCATGGTCTAGTGGTCGAAATTTCCGGAACGGTTCATTAGGGCGTCCATATGATGAACATGTCGTGGTTTTGGAATGCCGAACCCCCGCCGTTATTACGATTATTACCCTTTATGCTCCTCACCTGGTTTTACACTGTCAGCATGACCAGCTCATTTTTGACCAAACGTTGAGGTAGCGTGATCACGCTATGGTTACACCAAATATTTTCACAGTCGGTTTCGTCATGTCACGGCAGAGGTGGATATAGTCCCGTGAGGATGATTTTTCGCATCAGTCGTGCTGAAACATGGCATAGTCTGCCTGACAGATGGCATAGTCTGCCACTTCCAGAATTCAGAGTTCTCGCAATGACCATGGGGTGTTTCGCCACTATAGTTGTCTAGGCTGCCTCGCTTGGTGAGGAGAATACTTCAAAACACCGAGACATTGCCTAAGAGTATAGAGAAAAAATACAGTAGACAACACGCGTTTTGGGAACCAATTTTGTGCGACGTAGAAAGTGTTGCGTAAGGGGATCATCCGAAATATTTTAGTACAGTATTGTTACTCTATCACATCGTGAAAATTGTGCGAAAAACTAAAAGAATCCTGTTACATTACTGCGATGCACTCGTTTCATTAAACTATTGATAAAATCTTTGACCCTATATACCGGTAAATAAAAGGAACACTGGTGCCCAAGTGATGCTTGCTGTAATCGATGCTTTGTTCAGTACAACTTTCTTTACTGCACAGCTTCTGGGAAAGAAACCTTATATCAAATACCTAATCTACTCGAAAACAATAGTGCGTGAAGTTTTTGAATAACGTATTGCTAAAAGCAGTCTAAGTAAGTGTTCTGTACTGTATCTATAGCTATGTTATTAATTAGAAATATTTCTTTCAGTGGTTTTGTACGTTTGTATAATTGTGTAAAAGTCGCTTATTTCTGTCAAATGGATATTTCTTTATTGTACTTGGTCTTCTGATTTATTATTTTCCTTGTTTTCGTTTTTTACACATTTCCCCAATATTTTGCTATGGTCCAATTGACGTTGACTGTAGCGTGATATTTTGGGTATATGTTTCAAACATAATTTCTACTTTTTGATTTTGGATTTTGCATTACGAAAAAAAAATGTGTATTTTCGTTTCATGGCATTTGAGCAATATGTGGTTGGAGGGACCCTAGTCAGGCAGATGTAATCTGCGTTTAGTCCTTTCAATCAACGCAAATATTTTTGTCAAATTAGTTTAATGAACGAATAAGAAAACTTTAACAATGCTTTTTGTCGGGTGTATTCGTGGTGCCACATTTGCGTAAGCGCTCATCAACATGACACCAATACGTTGACACTAAGAGAGATCACTTTGTGTACCTTCAAGTTTACATGTTTCTTTTGTCACTTACGAGCGGTGCTTACAATTGCTACAAGCTGTTACGAGTGTTGCTGACCAAATTACTATTGCCAAGTGCACGTTTCCAGAAATATCGGGAAAAGTAGACGGGAGGGTGACCTACACTGTAGCTGCATTGGCAGAGCATCGAACGCGTAATCGGCCGAAGGTTGCAGTTTCGATCTTTGCCGGGAGCAAGTTGTCTTTTCGTCCACATTTGTATCATAATTGCTGCAATACACTGCAAAGGATACCACTAACCTACTCCCTATACTTTCAATACCCTTCGCTGGCAGGCTCGTTGGGGATGCATATTTTGTACGTAAAGCTGCTCGAACGAAACAATGCACAAGAAATGAAGGAAGAAAGTGAAAATTTTAGGCTTGTTCTTCTTGGTTAGACGCAATATTAGTGACAATTGAAACTTAATGATAGCAAGAAAAGTACACTCGAGAATAATAATAGAGATTTAAATTTAAATGTGATGAAAGTAAAGTTGATGCAAATGATAGTTTCATCTGGCTGGGGCCGAACCTGTGAGCTTTAGATAACGCATCCGATTTCTACCGGCTGAACTACAGCAGTAATTATCCTCCCGTCCACTTTATAAAGTATATGTGAATTGATACCTGGGAGGCTTGGTCAGTGCAGGTAGTAGCCATGATACGAAATACGTCATTTGAAGGCCAACTTACAAGGGTGGCGACTTGATTATGGAAACGTTCCTTCGGTGCACGCTGGCCTACTACCTCGAGCAAGACGAAGGTGCGCGAGGCGTGAGTGAGGAAGGTGAAAAGGGGGCTGCCTTGACTTTTTCCCACAAACTTTTTCACGGCACGTTTTTGATACAAACATCTCCCGTGAAATGCATATCTTTTACTAAATGTCCTTACTGGATTGCTACCACCGATAACTCGTATTTGAAGGTAGGAGGCCGAAAGGCGCCATTTTTCATCTTCATGAAATTCACCTCATGAGCCCTGGCTCACATGAGGCCTTAGCCTGGCGGACTCAACCCTGCTGTACAGAATAACTACACGATCGGTGTACACTACGGCATGGTTGTGTAAATTCAAGGGTAAACTACTTCCCCGTGGTGCACTGAATGCAACTAAGTCGCGAATTTCAGCACTATACATCTGGCCATGGAGGCGTTTTTGCGCTGAAAGCAAGACACTGAAGGACAGCATGAAGAAAGTGTTTCTCCGCGGATTTGTGAATACGTTATGTTTATGGCAGATGCGCGGTGGATGGAAAAGCAACTAGTTATTCTGCTTTCACGTTTTCTACGAGAGACAGGATTAGGCGATGTATGGTGAGACGATACATAAAAAGAGTCACTCAGGCGAAGCTATTGCCAGCTGGGTCGGCCAGTATAACCCCGCATGTGGCAACATTATCACCCCGACCACCACCGCTATCAAAAGGCGCCGTGTAGAGCACTTATTACGTGAGGTACTGGTAATAAAGAGTGCTCTCACTGTGATCAAGAAAGCTAATATTATTTAATCCACTTAGGAGCCGACACAGACCCACTAAGAATGAGATCGAGCCGTCGTGAGTAGTCTGAGTCTAAGTGGGATTAGCTGAGTAATATTTTGGGCAGTCTGAGTCCGAGTGCAAACGTTTGAAAAAAATTTCAGTTAGCGTGAGTCGAAGTCACGAGAAGTTGGCTGTGACAGAGTGCGAATGGGGGATAAAAGCGAAATGTGTTTCTAAGTTAGGGCTATTTTTTTCAGCGACATATCCCCACACCATAGGAGAAATATCACGTACCAAAAGACGTGTAAAGACGAAGGCAAGCGCTGTACCCCTCCTTGATTTAACTTAATCGGACTTGCTCGTAGAAGGTTATCCGCTGCTATATATGGTGTGCTACACGACATTCTCAGGTGACGACACTGGCGGTGTACACGTTCTTCCTGGCGACGTTGTTCGGAAGTCAGTGCCTCAACCCGGAGGCCGGTTATAAGGGACACGAGATCGACCTGTACGTGCCCATATTCAACTTCCTACGGTTCTCCTTCTACATGGGCTGGCTCAAGGTAAGGGAGGTCGCAGGGACGGTTCCCCATACCGCTAAACTCGGGTCAATAGTTCTTGCAATGAAGGCAGTCGCACTACTTGCATGTGCAGACGCACCCAAAGGCCATTTTACTGTACTCGTGGTCTGCTTCCACACAGGAGGAGGAATGTGAAATAATCAATTAAGGGTATTAATTGCCCAACTTGAGGCAAAACATTGTTCTGAAGAGGGCTGAAGAAGGGAGAAGACTCCCACATGGGAGGTTGCATGTGCGTTTGTAATGGAGTTGATGCACACATGTGTTGGAAAAAACAAGCATGTAACATTCAGTTACGTATTTCGCGGTAAATATATTTGATCGAAATCAGCCTGTCTGGCTAAAATTATGGGAATAAAAACTCTCCAGTCAAGTATATATAGTTTTCAGTTTTTAATTTTAAAAAGTGGCCCTACGTTTTGAGACTCGTTCGGCTTTCTCAGCGTGTGAATGTGTAGCCGGCTCTAAAGCTAGTGACTTTTCTTGTTGGTTGTCTCCCTCTCCACCATCGTTCTTACCGCCGCTCTCGTGAATGTGTTGTGTCCTCATCTTGCGGAGAGAAACAGCTGCAAGGTTGGGCAGTTCAAAAGGCTCGATTTCTATTGCGATACAAAATGGAAAAGTGATGCAGGATGTTAGACAGCCTAATTAGGTTGACTTTCTTTATGTTTACGCTGAAAGCTCATTTGGATCACGGCTCCTGTGGTAGTTCTCCCGCAGCCAACAAAACAGTGCTTTATGTGAATGGCTTTCATGGACACAATTATCTTGATGCTTTCTGAACTTGAAGCAAGTGCTTGTGCTACGTGTACCATGCAGGTAGCGGAAACTCTAGTGAATCCTTTCGGCGAAGATGATGACGACTTCGAGATGAACTACGTTATCGACAGAAACGTTCAGGTAAGCTGGGTGTAGTCAAACTCTTTGCTGCTGCCTTGCAAAGTAAAAACCAGAAACATGAAGTACAAACATTAACGCAACTCGCGAAACGTTGTGAACTATGTTAAACAGCACTGACAGCACTGGAAAATCCCGCGTGGTGGTGGGAAGTTTAAGAAGGGAAAACTGAAGTTTGTGCTGCGAGCGTGTCGTTGGTAATTTGTCTTTCATACGGAACAGAAAATGATAGGTCGAATTCCCAAGAATAGAAATATCCTGAGGTGAAACCAGGGACACTGATAGATACAATCATAAATCTGGAGACGACCCATGCGGTCGCAGCACGACAACCGATCACCAGCTCGACCAAAGAAATAGCCCTGCTCCGGAGTCAGATGGTGCTGTAACAAGTTTTCTGAAGGATTACGTCTGTATTGAGGGCGCGCATGTAGACGTTGGTTCCTGTTCATCCACTTTTCAGGAGAAAATGCCGCTGGCTTCTAAAGCTGTGCTGCACTATAGACCTAATAAATGTATGCAATCAATGGTAGGCGCCGTCGGCATACTCAGGGTGCCTAGGCTCAGCCGACAGCCTAGGCGCTCCGAGCACGGAGCGTTCGGGGAGGAGTCTTCATCTATTGAACACTCCTTTCACACGCTCTGTGCTCCCAGGCATTAACGCATAGTAATTTTGCCGTTTTACGGTAAATACAAAGCTGTATCAAACTCCTCACTTGATCAGGTTTTTCAAGATTCGAAGCAGCTTTTGCTCGAGGCTGTGTCCTTCTTTCCCTTACGCGTCCAGTCTCCCACTGCGCATGCTTATCCCCCCTCCCCCGTCTCTATCTTCCTTTCCTCTCCTATCCTCACCACTGTCTCTTTCGAGTCGGCGGCGCAGGAAACGAGACATTTACTCAGTACAAACGATCACTTCGTAGCCGTTGATCGTAGGTTTTGCGGCATTCCACGTTTCTGTAGGACACAGCGCGACTGATTTGGCTAGCACGGGATCACGTTTGATGTCTCTGGCTTGTGCGTGGAGGGACCGGCTGTTTAACAGTGCTGTAGTCATGGTCACTGGCAGCGTTAGTGGTCCTGCCTAAAGCGACGTAGACGAGCTTCTGTGGGTGCCGTTCACCATCTCCCCGCTCCTTCACCTCCGCACATGGTTCCCTTTAGCGGGAGATGGCGTAACTTTTTATTATAATGCAGTTTTTTTATAGTTTTCTTTGTCACTTCTTGATAACTGTGCTTGGACATGCGTGTCAGCAGCCTGCTCCTGGCTTCCAGGTGTCGTACCTCGTGGTGGACGAGATGCACCAGAACCACCCGGAGCTGCTCAAAGATCAATACTGGAACGAAGTGCTCGCACCGGAACTGCCTTACACGCTGGCGTCGAGCAGATTCTACTGCTTTCCTCACCAGGGTTCCACCGCGTGTATGATGTGAGAGCTTTTTCACTTCTGCATGAGTGGGGCAGGAAAAGCTTATTGATTTGAATTTTCAGCTAGTTGGTGTTTCGACAATGATATCATCATACCGAGCGCAACAACTTCGTTTCTTTTGTGGAATGAAAAAAAAATCTATTAACACGGGTTGCGTGTTCCAGCTGACGTTTCAACAAGCGGACGTGCTTCCCCGACAATCTTCGATATATCTTCCGCTTCCAGTCCTCTTTTGAATTTATGTTGTGCGTCTTATTTGCGCTATTTACGATCATATTATTGTAAAGCTTAGTCAGGCTGCACATGGCCTAATTTTCAGTCTCTTCAAATAAGCTCATGACGCAAACACTTAATTAAAGACGCTGTAAACACAGCAGTATAAAAGTAATCACACCTATCAGACCAAACCAATTCAGGTTGTCTGTCGCCAAAAATAGTTTTCAACAAATATTGTGGCTCTGCTGTAGAGAAAATAAGTTTTATATTCATATGATGAAAGCGGTGCTCTTCCCCGAACATACAGTCTACCTTAAGAAACGGTTGGTCATTATCTATCTCTCCCTGTCAACATCGTCATTGTTTAGCTGTCATATGGCAACACACTAGCTGACGTTGAACGTTCAAGGCTATGCTGCTAGCTTTGATGTATAAGTACGCTAGTCCTCACCGTTCTCCATTTAGTAATATCTTTAGGTGTCGGTTCAAAGGATGTGGGCTTATATTTCAGGGGCGCAATTCTTACTCGTTCATTACCGCGTTGAGTGTCGTAGTTCAGTGCCTGTCGTGGCCGACATACGAAGCGCAGCAAGCCATGAACTTGAACTTCGAGTGTAGAGAGGATAACGGAAGAGTGGGGAGGGACTAATCAGATGGCCACACGACACTACGAGATGGCGCCATTGTATTCTACAACTGAGCCGCCATAGGTGTGCGCATGTTTCTCCGTCACGAGTGGCGCAGGTTCAGCGCAGCATCCCCCTCCCCTGCTTAGTATGAGGCAGATTTTGGCACCCCCTTTATTCATGTAACAAATGATTGGTGGTGACTCCCCCCTCCCCCCCCACTCCTGTGTGCGCTTCCGATGCGAAAGCTTATCGTCATCTCCAAGAGAACCTTGAAATTCCTGCCGTCGAAGCAAAAGTGAGGGTCTTACATAATGAAAACACACGTGCAGCTGCGCTGAAATTTCTCGTTCGGAAGAACAGTATCAACGCTGTTTCTTTTATTGTGTGCTGTCGTCATAGTACACATCAGTCATCTGAACTTCCCAAGGGCCCTAGAAGTGGTGCACATATAATCGTCAATAATTAGAGATAGAATCAGGCAAATCCAACGCAGCTGATTGTTGTCTCGTGTGTGTGTCCGATCATCTCGTACTTAGACTTAACGAGGAAACAACGCTGTTGTAACAATAGACGGTCTACACTAACCAACTGTAACACTTAGTGTTATTCACAGTCATGAGCCATAATAAATGTCCTGGCATAATAATTGTCACAAATGAACGAATCTGGGAAGGACTCGAGGTAACTTTCTTGTGAGCCTTCACACTCAGTGAAGGCGGATGACCAGCGAAACTGTTTAGCGCACGGCACAAACGATGTGATGCTGAGGACATTTTGGTTTCGAAGGACTGGTTGTGAACTTGCACATTAACACATAAACCAATATGCATAGCCTACCGCGAAATATCGACTACTGTACACGCCATTGAAGATTCACTGCGATGCACAACTTGACAAAGCCAGCTCACTATAGAAGGCCAAGTATACTCCCTTGCCTTAATGTTGGCTTTATGTCCAAGCATTTGTACATTGCACAAATAACATTTTTAATGCAAGAGGTTTAAAGAGGTTGTTTCAAAGAAATTCCGGTGTCGGCGTCCATGTCGTTGCTTGAGAGCGAAAATCAGCGTCGTCCTTGAACGAAGTCAAAGTTATATGCAAATAAAAAAACTAGAAAATATATTTATTTGAGTGGAACCGAATATCCGAACTTGCAAACCCTCACTCCATGAACCCGTGCGTTAAGCCACTGGACCACCACTCATATATTACCATCGGCAGTACCGATATCTTGTTTAAACGTGGCAGAGATTTTGCAATCACCCACGGAATGGCGCAATGTACCCTCACACGCTTTATTCATACTTCTTCTATCATACCTGCAGCGAAACTCCGCATAGGTTCCGCGCATCAAAATACCAGCTCCCCATAGACAGAAATCATGGGGTTCGACTGATTTGAGCGTGATATGCTGGTGAATAAATAATTTAGTAAACAGTATATGTGATGCTGTGCAGCCATGAGCGCCGCCGCATACTGCCTAACAGCGGTTATTATGACAGCGCATACAGCAGTGTCATGTTTGTATATTGTATTACTGCGCCCAGATAGCGCCACAACCGGCGAGTCACCACGAAGTCGACTAATGGGTTGTCGGGGTTTCAGAACGCAGCTTCGTCGCAACTGGTATGGTTGGAGAGCTCTGCCCTGAACAGAATCGCATCACCGTGTTTTGTCGCGCCACTTGCGTGGATATAGAAGCAGGAGGACGACGCCCGCACTTTGGCTTTCCTTGCGACGCGGTCTAGGCGTCTTCTGAGAAGGGAAGCCAATCCTAGCGACTGAAAAGGCGTTACGGCCACGGCCCCATTGCGCTGTCCCGTTATGCTCTTGAAAGTGAAGCTCAAGAGTCCTCCAAGTTTTAAAGAGGACAGTATTTATTCAGATACTTCAACGTGAACAGTTTGATCTGTCTGTTGGTGTCTGCCCATTGATTCAGCCACCCGCGAAATGTTTAAGCCTGTGATCAAAGCACACTCATCTTATTATGATGGCTGCTTTCATACTTGTAAACATATTGTCAATGAAAAAGACAATAATACGCACAATTTCAGCACAGAATAAATATGGTAGATGTTAGACAGTGTGTCTTTTTGTTTAGAAAAAATACATAAATATTCAATTTGAAAGACAAAAGCGTTTATTACGATGCTTTAACAATGCCATGCTATGAGCGAAAAATCGGGTTTTTATTACGTTTCGACTAAATATTCAGAGATTTTAACTAAAACGACCTGATTGGGTCCCCTACCAGTGAGTATGCGTTAAAAAAAAAAGGACTTTCGCTTTTTCATTTGCTCTTAGATGGCGCCACATTTCGCACAGCACCTCCAGACAGAACACTGTCTTTTGACGACCTTTGCAGCGAAACACGGAGGTACGCGGCCATTTTTTCAAAACGCATTATGAACTATCGTAATTGGAAGGACTTAGAACCCATCTAATGCACTAGCTGCTATCGACGCAAGGAATATTGTGGAAACGTTGGTCTTCCTTGGCTCCAAAAAGTTGAAGCGAAGGTTTGCGAGTGTCGTAAGGTATCCTTGTTGGTTGATTACCAAACACCTATTTTCAACGCCTACTGCACGCAAAGACAATGAAATACACAAGGAAGGACACACATCACTACTATAGCAACAACGATCGGGAGTACCTTGCATATACCATAACCTCACTACCCTGTGCATACCACCACAAGGTAGGTGAACAGCTGAGGGCTATAAGGGGGGAGGTCAACTGCTCAGGGCCTAAAAAAACTTGTATTTTTAATATTTATACCGGTAAAACATCCTACACTGTTTGAATTTCGAGGGTGGAGGGGGCGTATGGCACCTCTCTGGCTACGAGCGTGCATTAAGGTAATCAATACAAATCACATGGGAACACTGTGAAACGTGCGCTGAACCTTTACACTTTGAAAATGCAACTAGTGGTAAGCGCGCATTAATAGCTTGTCCACGTTTATGCAGAGAATCTCTTTAGTTGCCTGTCATATGAAAGGTTTGCATGTACAAATACCACCGAGTGCATCGACACGCTGAGCCTTTTCGTGGAACGGGTACTCTCGTCTTCATGGTGGCTTAAAGTGATAGTCTGTCACTTGGAAGGGCGTTTTCAAGGGTCTATTCATTTATTAATGGAATGGATGACAGCCCGTCATGTAAAGTATGCGGGTGCAGTGAAACAGTCATGCACCTTCTCAGTGAGGGCACTCGCCTCAACTGCGATAGAGCAATCCTCTCAACCATGCTAGGCAAGCTGGACAACCACGCCTCACAGAAAAACAAAATACTGTGGCCCTGGCTTACCCGGTATGCCTCACGAGCTGCTCTAAGCGCGTTGTTGCGGCTTCTGCAAGCAACTGGACTGAGATATTAACTTTGACTGATCACGGACTATGTTTCTGCCTAGTATTTACGTAGTGCTCCAATCACTTTTTTTTTCATTCTGGGACCAAACTCTTCTTCTCTGTGATTTGTTTACGCCATTTTGTTCGTTCCCAAGTACAGGGTAGAAGTCTGAAACCTTCTGGTTAACATCCCCGTCTTTTACTTTCTTTCTTTCTATCTCTCTCCTATGAGACATCCCTGCACTCACACGACTAAGTGCGGAGAGGGTGCAGAGTTATAAAGCGTTCAGGTGGCAGCTTCGTTGTCAGTTTGATCGGGTGTCTCGTAATCACACATTACACATTAGCTCGTCTGTGCGCGTAGTGCTACAGCGAAATCCGATAGATGACGAAAAGCTTTGCATCCTATGAAATTGTGCATACGATTTGTCTTACTCTTAGGCATGGGCGCCAGTAGGATTTTGTCTTTTGGCAGCGAAGCACTGTAATACCATGACGAAGGTGGGGGAGGAGAGGCACAGGGGCAGCTTGGGCGGGGCAAGCACTGCTTCTGCTTGAGGTGGGGGGAGCTGTTCCCCTTTTGCATTCCCTGATGACACCTATGCCCTCAGGTTCTTTCAGTACTAGCCACATTTATTTTCAAAATGAAGCTTCGGTTCTCATTAAAAGGCCCACTAGATGCCCATTAGTTTGTAGCGAGCGAGAGCAAAGACGTGAGACGACGTCGAAGGCAGCCGAAGGGGCCGTGCCGATCTCGCCACTTTATTCCACGCCTGAAGCGGAACCGTGGCGGCTGTTCACGTCTGACACGCCAGGCAAGGAGCTAAGCTGGTCTAATCCTCGTGCAGCTCGAGCTAGCATCAGCTGCGCGAAAGGTGCGGCGCGGTGATCAAGAAGTGATGATAGTGATGATGGCACTACAGGGCTCCCTCCCCCTTAGCGCTTTGCGCAATTTGAAGGCATATAAAAGGGAGCGGCAAATGCTATATACATGAATAACGATCCATAATGTGTCCATTTGGGAAGTCGAGGTTGTCAACGTGGATGGGCCATAGGTAAGCAGTGGGTCTCCGGCGGGTGACTCTGGGAGAAGCGCAACGGACGAAGAAGGAAGCACCGGGTCGCTGTGGTCACAGACTATCTAGTCTCACAATTACCTGGTCGGACAGACTGAAAGTGGACCGTGTGTCGTGAGGTTGTGCCACTAACTTTGACAGAGGGTCGGCAGAACAGGGTTTTGACGTAGGCGTCGACGCAACACAGATCTCAAAGTTGTGCGGCGTCCGGCGTGCCGGCGTAGATAGACGTACCGACGGACGCGGGAACGTGTCCGAACAACGGCGCCACGGGTACGGCGGGTAGTCGGGTACGCGACAAGTTGTCGGCCATTGCGTCGGACAGACCAAGTAGGTGCTTCCGCCGTTTTCAGAACCGTGACTGCAACTCGTGGCTGAGTAGCAGTGCGGCTCAAAAGGTGCTGCACTGTATGATGCCAAGCACGTTGTCGTCGTTGACGTAGGGTCACGGGTGGTATTCATGTATAGGCGTTGTCGCGGTTGTGACACACGAGCTGCCGTTGAGGACACGCGTCTGGTTGTTGCCGTCCGGCGTCAAAGGCTCCTGGGAATGGTGGTGGTGGAACCTAGTCAGCGTGAGCTCGGCCGGAGGGTTGGACGGCACACGTGTGCTCGTGTATTGACCTGCGGTAGTTCGCGCACGAGGGTTGGCATGCAGTTCTGCATAATTGATGGCTGCATCTAGCCAACACCCCTTAGATTGCTCCAATGCAGGCGTGGTATGCCTGGTCAGCCCTGTCGGAAGCGGACCAGGCACGTCGTCTTCAAGCGCGGTCAGTCACATTCACAGCGTCTTGGAAATTTGGCTGTGGTTGATGGCTCGTGGCTTTCAGTTCGGCTGCGGGAGACTGCGAGGGCAAGGATGGTCACTGCTGGCAGGACATGAAGAGCATTGAAGGAGGTGGAGAGGCGCATTCGGACATCGTCGACGGTGAAGCCTCCGCGACCAGGGGGCCAATGGCGGGCGTGACAATGTCAGTTGTCGTGGTAGACTCCGAGGTGTTCGGCGATGTTGCCATCGTGGAGCCTGACGCGTCAGAGGTGTGGCATGACTGTGAAACCTGTGCAGTTGGGGGCTGAGTAGCAGGTGTTACGATGTTCCGATTCGTAGCAGACTCCAAGGGTGTGCGGCAGTGTAGCCATCATGAAGTATGACATGTCCGAGAAGTCATGGTCTGTGGAGGTTGAAGAAGGCGTGCGGGTGGCGAGCGTGCACGAAAGATCATAGGCCGCGAGGACTTCGAGAAAACGCCCCTCGTGGCGGACTGGTCGTCGGTAGCGGGAACGTCTTGAAGAACCTCGTCGGGTGGGCAGTAGGGCGTGGTAATCGCGCCGCTAGTGGCCGGACGAGAGGTTAAAGGAGACGCAGTCGGGGAAGTTAGGTCCCAGTCAGTGGAGACTTTCGGACCGGAGGATACCGCACGCTGCGACGCAGGGGAAACCTGGATGTCGCGGGTGAACGGTAGCGGGTGGTAGGTTTGGCCGTAGGAGGCCAGCACCACAAAACAGAGGTCATCGTAAAGCTGTGGGCTAGAGCTTGAAGTGGCAGAGAGATGACGCAGCTCTACAGCAAGGGCGTCGAGAAGAATGGCGTGCATCAGTGGCTGGTCCGTGACGCCATTCACTGCAAGAACTGCGTCAAGCTGCATAAACTATACCTTGGGGTAGGTCGATTGGAACGGCGGCACTGGCGGGCAGAGCCACAGGAACATGGCTGCCGATGGCTCGTCGAAGGGTGCGTTCTCCGTATCACCACTGTAGCGGGAGAGGTAGATCGTGCTCACGCGCCTGGCGGTTTGGACGCTGCAGCCGCCGCCGCTCCGCTTCGGCAATAGCCTTTTGTAGTAAAGTGGCGAGACAACGACACGACCACGTTGGCCGCCGTCCCGTCTTTCTCTCTTGCTACAAGTTCGTCCACTGTTTTCAAGGAGGCACTTAAGGCTTGGCCGCATGAATTTCGTGAAATCGGAAAACGAGTCATAGGCAGTTTTGTAGTAAATACGTGAAAATCTGCCTCTTTTTATGAAGAATGTGCAATAATTCCCAGCAGCAGCATTCACTAGTAGCTACTTATGCCGCCGTGGTTTGACCTGTGAACTGTAATGTCAAGACTGTAGGTGCTTTGGAGTCAGTCAAACATAACTTGTTCACTTGCCAGGCGTTCAAGGTACGAGTTCCTTCGAGCTGCTAGATCTCAGAAAAATACTTAGACCAGCTCAGCTACTCAGCGACCTCACATTTAAATTTTTCTCAAATTTACAGAACATAAACTTATAAGATAAACTGAAACGTCACTAAGATCATCATCATCAGCATGGGTAAAGAAGCATATATCACGATCATAGTATTTCATTTTTTTCTGTCTTTCACTATTTCTGCCCTCCTCCTCATCCTAGGCTTTTTGTACTCAATGCATTCCCCCGTGCAGAGTATTTTGTACGCATCTTGCATACGCTGGCAGAATTTTCTGTCTTTTATAACTCTCTCACCCACACATGCGCGTAGACTGCCTTTGCTTTTTCAGCTGTTAGTACATAGCAGCCTGGGCTTTTGCCTGCGGATACTTCAGTCAACTCACCTTTTCTTATTTCTGCAATTGATACATTGGCTTCTAATGCAGAATTCCACCTGGACAGGCAAGCGTGGTGTCCCGGGAAAAGCTGGCGGGGACGCCCCAAAGAATTGAGAAGCATCAGGTGACGTACTGTTGACAAAATATATCACAAAAATTCAACTCGCCTCAAAGGACATCGTACTAAAGCTTCACTTCATTTCACAGGGGCGACAGGCCTATGCAAACACATTTATTCAATACAAACCACGAAAATCACTATTGAATAAATAGCGAATTGAGGTCAGCAGGCAGTAATGCGATTGTGCTTGGCCGTTACGATGTCTTCCACACTTTTAATATCCTCTTAAACGTGCCACAAGAGATGCGGACTGAAGGTACGGAATACATTTGCAAGAAGATATCAAAATGCACCTATTTTGAATGGTTCAGAAAAGGTAGGTTCGCAACTCGCAAGAACGATAAATTTGAATATGCGCCTAGGAGGTAGTGTGCATGGTAACGAACACCGATCAAATACAGAATACTGATACGAAGACATACTTCACGGAAGAATGCATTTTGCCTAACACCATCATACGCCATTAACTAGGGTTGGCGGAGAGCATTGCAAATCATTGAAATTGTTTGGCTTTCCATTCATTGTGGTATGATTAATCATCGATTGACACAGGAGGAAGGAAGCTAAGTACTCTATGCCTAACAAACCACGCGCTGTATTGACGAAGACATCAGGTGTAGCTCTATCAAACTTCTTCAATATGCAGCATAGGCAATCACACAAGCTACATAGATAGATAGATAGATAGATAGATAGATAGATAGATAGATAGATAGATAGATAGATAGATAGATAGATAGATAGATAGATAGAAGATAGATAGATAGATAATAACATTTATTGGGGTGCAGAAGAATCATGAAAAACAATGTTACCTCTGAATTTCTGTCGTAAAGTTACACTTTAATCATGCAACCCTTTGGCGGAGATGACCAACAGAACAGAACGCTGGGCCATAAGTATTATAAAACCGACGAAAGCGAGTGAAGGAGGACAAGGCCTCTAAACGGTGAGCTAATATGTGATGGAGTTTACTTTGTCAGACAAAGCTAAGTTTCTGGTATAGCATTGCGTTAGTCTGCATATTTGAATGAACAATAGTGAAGGCGGTTTAGCCATGACGCTGACAGTTGAATTGATGATACAATCGTCTTCAGTTTTGTGAATCTTGTACACACAGGGGTTGTTTATTGCTTGTTCATGCTGAGACCATTATGCACCAAGAGGAACTTTCTTAGGCACTTCAACTTGCTATTTTGTCATTTTTTTGGTAAGCGCAATTATCATTTTCACCGTTAGGTAGGATGCTTCTCTTCTGCACTGTGCAACTCACTATTTGGGAGGTCGGTAGCTAAGCAACCAAAACTGGACACAACAAAAATAGCAGGGAGGATTCAGTGGTAAAGCGATCCTGCATTCTTGCCTTATACAGCGCACACGAGACGACGACGAATAAAGAGAAAACAGAACAGGCGCTGACTGTAAGCTAAAATTCATTTGTTCAAAGAACAACTGTTATATAGGTGAAGTGGAACCTAATATAGAATACAAAGAAACCCTAACAGCAGTACACCGAAACACGCCTCAAGGACGGAGGAAAACCGAAAAGGATATACATTTGTATCATATTCTGCAGGGGCTGGAAAGATAGACAAAGTCTGCGTCGCTCAGCGAAATTGACGGCATGCTGACACACTTATTATTTCTCCTTCGAATGTGGAAGGCTTCAATTCCTTTTCTTGCTACCTGAATTTTATTTTATGGCAGTATAATTGTGTCGTTGAAGAAGGGTACGCAGCTGCATTTGTGACAACGAGTTGTGAAAGAGTATGGTTTAGTCTTCGCTAATGAGCGTTCGTGTTCTCGAAAGTGAACATTGATGCATCTTTAGCTTTTGACAATATAAGTTTTACTGCATGTTAATTGAATTTCGTATAAAATGGCTTCCTTCCATTGTGTATATTAGACGGCATGGTGTATTCCGCAGTTGCCATGAACAATTTCATTGCTTTTGCTCGGCTTAGCAGTGCTTTTTACAGTGAAATCTGTTATGAGATCACAATAAATCTCAATAGCGTGCGGCACCGTAGTTGTCCACCGCTGCCGGTGTCCGTAACCACTAGCGCGCAAAATAAAAAGCCCAGTAAAATAAAAACACTGGAATACAATGGGATTGCAAACTGGGTCCCCTGCGTGCCAACCCAGCACTCTACCAATGAGCCACGCCTTGTGCTTGGGCCTCCTTTGCAAACTGGGCTTAGGCAGGCTTGATGTCGGGAAAGTAATTTCGAAATTATAATTAATAAATCGTTTTAAAATAGCAAAAGAACAACCCGGTGTCAAACAATGGGAATTGCGCAACGAGCGGGTCATCAGATGCTCAAACCTTTACGAGAGCTTAATCTTGTTGAACTATTAACTGTGGCGCATACCCACTGTGGGCGATTGTGGTAATTACTAAAGCTTTTGGCGTAATTATTCATCGTGGTTAGCCACCACACAAAAAAATTGCACAGTGTTCCTTGCAAGTGTGCAGCGGCTACCACGCTTTTCCGAAGAATGACGGATGGCATAGCGAAAGCCTGCCTACTGCACAATGATTTATAGCGTAGTGGGTACCCTGTAAGTGTGGTGGCCGCTACCCAAAGAGTGTTAAAAAAGGCCCCTAAGGCCACTCTTCTAGCTTTTGCTCTGACAATGCTGCGCGTTTAGTGCAGGCCTGGTGGTTTTTTAAACCTTTGTGCTCAGGAAGACAATTTTATAAGGAGACGAAAGAACAATGTCAACGCCATATCATTTGTCCATGTTTTTTAAAACTGTGTGCCACACGGTGAATATAGTATGACCATGTACTTTTTTGCTCTGACGGTTCGTTCATCATTGCCAGCTGGTATTCTATTTGTTTTAAGATGTTGGCGCATCTTCTCGCACGCTTGGGCAATAACGTGTTCCGGATAACCCGCTTGCTTAGGTCTAAGAACTTGTTCATTAGACAACATCTAACAACTTGTTAGTGGCCCCAGCCACATTGAAAAATTCATTTCTTTTGTTAACTGGGGCTGCTGAAAAAAATATGCTGTGATCAATGTAGCCGGAAGATAGGAGTTTGTACAAGTAATAATACATGCCATCGCTACTCGTTGCATCCGTAATTGCCTTTCGTGTGAGTAGGTGTAGTGGACGAGTTTGCGAACAATTCCTTGATATGGCACCGCGGTTTCATTAGCGATAGGCATCTCGCATATTCTCATATGAGAGCAGAGTTGCAAACACGTCTAGTAACTACAGCTATGCAGTAAAGTGACACTTTGTTTTGGCAGGTGGCATGCGCAATGCCAATTCTCGTACCTGGTGTTTCAACCACTAAAGATGAAAGAAGAAATACCGCCTTGCGGTATGCTGCGGAGGTTCAAAGGGTGGCTTCACAGCCGCGACAGTAGATTTTTTTTGGGGTTGGCGCCTATTAAGAGCTTAAGAACGGCGCCGAGAGAGCCCTCTTGTCAAACCACTTAGTTGCAGCTGCAGCGGCAGCGGGGAGGTCAGTTATTGGCCTCTGTGTCATCTTTTGTAGCGTTAGCTACACTGGCCTCGCTGAGCCAATTTTGCGTGGCACAGGTCTGCGCATGGGCAATGATACTCCGCCGCCGCTGCGCGCGGCTCGCCGCCGGTGTGCGCGCAATTCGATGCGCTGCGCAGACGATCAGTGGTGTCACGCACCGGAGCCGGCACCTCCCTCACACTCGGCCGCGCGCGACTCGCCGCCGCCGGTGTGCGCTCTCCAGAGGAGTGCCGTCATAGCCTTGGTAGACATATGGACACCGACGCGCGCGCCTTCCCTGTGCAGTCGCCATCTGACACTGGGCTGGAGCCGCTTGATAGCGCCTCTGACTGGCGTTTGCCACTGTAGTATAGCCATGCACAAGGAGAGTGCAAATGCTGCTCAACGGTGCAGTAGAGCGGAGAAGCTTATCAATCAATCTTTATTTTTGCATAGTATGGTTACATCGTTAAGGATATGCAGAAGAGGGTCCCAAGGTCAGAAAAACCGTACCGGGACCCTCTGTACATGATCATTAGGTAAGGATTACGAAATATTACGAAACTCACCGGATCTCGAAGTAGTTGGCCGGCAAAATAAATATACGTGTGTCATTGCAGCAACATTAAGCATGATAATCAAGCGAATCCTAGACACTCTAAAAAGCTAAGAATAATCAGCTAAACCTTTGCTAATGCTACCTATATCCTGGCATAGCTGAGCTAAGTCACTGCCACTTTTTTTCTCGAAGTGCGGGGTTGCTAGTGGCGTCCGGAAAAGGATTGCGTAACTCTGCTACCTAAAGGTAGCATAAACAGTGACTCTAATTAGTCGGCGTGTATGCGTCATGCGCCAACTACGGTAGGAATATATATTGATGCTTTCCAAGCTTTGACGTAATCACCATTTACAGGTAATATGTCAGGTAAATACAGGTAACTCCACTTTCACAGGGGCCCGAGGATGGCGATAGCCGTTCTACGCTACGTGGCCGTCCCGTTCCGAAACCCGGTGCTGCATCTCGTCGTGGCAGCTCGACCTGGCGATGGCCGGCTGCGCCTAGCTGGGCTGGAAGGCTGGGCAGGCTTGTCGGTAGGAGGGACTCGACCACCACACGGGCCTCCGGTAAGCATGCATTCAGCGTATTTGCAAACCATCTCAGAGTCCCGTCAGTGTGATCATGATTCAAGCTCACCTCAACATGTAATACGCGGGCTGCCAAAAAGCCTACCAAATCGTACACCAGCAATATATTCACAAGGAAAAAAAAAACGTCTTGTCACTTTCATTCGATTCCGTGAAAGAGAATGCATCAAATTCATTATTTGCAGTGATTTGTTTACGGGGTGTGTGTGCGGGTAGTCGAAAAGTTTTATATTCATATGGAACAATGCTATCTTTGAACCTATCATCGAATTGAACAGCCGTCATATAGAAGCCGAAATATTTTGTAGATATTTCAATTGATTGCCACGTCCCTTTAGAGGTCCAAGTGAGGATTATTGGACGTATATAGGAGGAAAGTGCAGTAAGACTCTTGCCAGACGCGTCGCTTGGGCGTGTACTCGAGAGGCGGATAGCTTGTACACTTCTTTTATCTCCTGTGCCTCTGCATAAGCATGCCATGCACCACTACGGGAAATATAAGTTGCCCAAAATTAAGAAGGAAATTGGTGCGAATGTAGAATAAATTGAATCCCTGTTCCATGGCTCATTCGAGGCACCAAAGGTTAGAGCTCATGCTGTAAGGCAAGCTACTTTGCTTTGGCAGCATCAGATTACTAGCAAACAATAATCATTCGTGCCTACTGAACAGTTACTGAACTAAACATCTTGTTTTCTCTAGACGCTTCTGTCGCAGAACTCTTGCCATGAAAGTGTTTTAATTTCTAACTCGCTCTCAATCACTGACCAAGGGAAAACATTGTTATCCCAGGGCGTCATTTCCACCATACGCCTACAATTGATGTGTACCTACAACACGTGCTCTTTACAATACGCATCGGCTTTTTTTAGGTGTATATGAGCCTAAGTTAAACCCAAACGCGTTGATTCCATGAGCGTTATTACCTCTAGCATGCGATTAGCACGAAAATTCAGCAAGCCCCACTTCTCACGTACAGCTGACTGGGGAGTTAGTTCATGACAAAATGAGATTTTTTGGGGGGCAGCTCAGTTTGAGCGCGAAGAAAAGATGCTATGCATTAAAGAAGGGGAAAAGAAACAGATGCCAGTGTGAGCGCTACACTGCCGTCTTTTTCTTTTCCCCTTCTTTAATGCATAGCAAGTTTTCTTCACGCTCAAACTGAGCTGCGCTAAAGCAATCCCATTTATCACCCACTTCTCAGCTGCGGTGCGGTAAGAATAAAAAATGGAACACACGGGCGGAAAGCACCACTTACTATTTATGTACAGATGTAACCAGTTTTGAGAAAGACTTCGGTAAACCATGGATATGAATGTTTCGCATCGTAGATACTCTGATGTATTTATGTAACCACTCCTGCACAAGCCGTGAAAAAAAGAACGTGGAGTTAACTAAAAAGGAGTAATACCTTTTATTTTACATCGTCATCCTGACCAACCTTTCAAGAATTTTTCCATTGATATATCATCTTGACACTTTTCTGTATAATGAATGAATGAATGAATGAATGAATGAATGATTGCTAAAGTTATGAATACGAGGATAGGAACACCAACTATACATTCGTTCTAAGAATGGTTGTTTCATATTCGTGACAATGCTGTGGCTACTGTGCTCTGCTGCTGACCCGAAGGTGATGCGTTTGATCGACGGATGTGCGAGGTGACCATGCATCGTGCGATGACTGTAAACACCCGATGGTCTAATTTTCCAGATGAGTGAATCATAAACATATCGATCGTGCTCGTGGCACGTAATAGCCCCTGATATCTTTAGCAGTGGTGTTAAGTGAACGGGAGAACTGACGCTTGTCTCACCACAGTCGCAATGTGCGCCAAAAATTGCCCAAAAAGACTCGTTTTTTTACAGCTTAACTGAAAACTTGGTTTTATTGCGTCCAGACGTACAGAAAAGCTTCCTTGAAGAAATGGCGCTGGACGGAACTGGCACTGCCGGAGCATACCCCCAAACAACAGCTCAGCGCGCTGCCCCTCGGCATGTGAATAATCCGTGCTAATATTTCGTGGTATTTCTAGAATTACGTATGCACGATTACTGCAAAGAGCTCGCGCATTTGTGCAATACGTGAGACCTCAGACTACAAGCGTAATTAATGCATGAGCAAGAACGAGGCAACTAAAACACGCGGTCAGCTGAGGCAAGTGTAGCCCTTCGTACTGCTTCTCACCCAATCTCAGCTGCAGCGGCTTAAACCTGAACGCTATGCGAGCGCCACTTCTCACAACGGCGACAAAATCTGGCCGCCTCTCGAAGCTGAGAAGAATATAGAAACGTTGGTTGCAACTGACTCCTTTTTTTCGACACCGAAAAGTTATGTCAGTGCGACGCTCCCCTCCCCGTTTCCTCCATCCCCAAGAAAAAATTGCTCTGCCCAGAGATTCTTTGTACTCCTGTGAAACTGTCTACAAAAAATGTTCCCCTTATCTCACGTGGAAAGTAAGAACGCTTTACAATAGAACAGTTAGGCACTAAGCAATGTATCTAGGGGCTTGAGGTGCTCAGATGGTGGCACTGTGCAGACAACTCTGTCGATATCTTTTGGAACCTTCGGTATTTTTTTAGGTGGTGTGTCGCTGCTACAGCACAAAAGTACTGCATTTGCACGTTGCTGCCATTTTTGTTTTCATACGCTCGTTAGCGGATATGCTATACATAAACACCCAGCATGTGAAGATGTGCCGAGCCTAATGAATGTTTTTTTTTATCATGTAGCACTTTGCCCTAACATTCTCTTTCTTTGTGAGATCTGTGAGTGCAGTAAATGTTCTTTCACTTTCCTGCAGAGGTGACCTCCATGCGAAGTGACGAAGACAGCGTTCGAAGGACCAACAGGAGGCCACCCTTCTCCCCAGAAACAGGCTCAGTCAACAGCCGGGCATCGACGGCGCCCGCTTCGCCTCGGCCCTTGTCCGCTGAGCAGGTGAGAAATTTCCCAGGCTTTACTGACTCGCTGCTGCCACGGTGAAGAAAGTGAGAATCTGACTGGTCACGTTAATGGGTGAACTTGTATCGACGAAACGAAAACCGAAAATAGCATAACTTGCACTGGAGGCGAACTCCTAGAGTTGAAACTGAGCTGGTGAGCAACTAGATTGTCCTGGCGGTTGCTGTATTGTGAAGTTCTGCCATTTTTTTCTTTCTTCCCATATCGCTGTTTTCTCTCTATTTCACTCCAGAATAGTTGTGCTATCTACAGTTGATTACAATTGTATTTGATGGTCGTAGGTGTCGCCAACAATACCTTAAGCGTACATTGGCTGCATGCTTGAAAACAGCATTTTCTCCGAATTATGTATATAAATGAGGAGTTCTCGACATATTGTGTCCTCACCGATTGCGTTGTTCCTGTTTGCCGCCAGGACGAGGACATATTTCGTTTGTCGGACCTATTCTTGGCTGGCTCTCGGGCCCAGTCATCACCAGCAGAGGCTTCCTGTAGGGCATCACGAGAGGGTTCAGCCATTGGAGTTAGTCCTGGTGTGAACGAGGTAAGCAGTATAAAAAGTCTACATTTCAACTGGAATGTAGCCGCAGATGACTTCTGAAATAGTTAAAATCAGAATAGTCTTGAATGACACATCCGAGGGTCGCTACTGCTAGACAAACCAATACTGATGTGCGTTGCAAAGCAAGCACAAACAAATTCTAGTGGCGAAACAGCCATGGTGGCCTAGTGCTAATGGTGCTTCACTCCTGGTCCGAAGATTGCGGGATCGAATCCCGTTCACGACGGCCGCTGTTCGATAAAGGTGATATGATTGAGGTCGCCGTATTTAGGTCAACCTCAAAGAGCACCAGCTGGTCAAAATATTTTATACTTCCACTACAGCGTTCCTCACAGTCATCTTGGGACGTGAAATTCTTACAGTTTTTACAATGCTAAGCTTATTGCAAATGATAATGTCATTTCATAAAGCAATCCTTGACTCGGGGAGAATTTATTTTGCCTAAATTTTTCTGACTTTGTCACTCAAACCACAGCTTGAGGCAGGGCGGCCAGACCGTGAGGCAGGGTGGCCAGTCAGCAGGGTTACCCGCCACATTTTTAGGGTTTTATATTTGAGATTTCATTCACCCTGCACCACAGGTAAGAAAACTCACTCAAAGGTCGACTCACTTAGACTTACACAGACTCAGATTGAGCCGTGAGTCTGAGTCAGAGTCTGTACGGGTGAGTAATATTTTGGTGAGTTTGAGTCTGAGTGAGTCCGACTTAAAAAACTTATCGTGATTGTCAGTCCAAGTGAGTCCGACTCATGAAAATTTTCGCGAGTTTGAGAAGGAGTGAGTTCAAAGCGAAAGATACATTTCATAAGTGAGTCTGATCGAGCTGCACAATTTTAGCTGTCCTGTTCTATGCATTACCAATGGTACAGAGGGGTGGTGTCTGCCTGCCGTTGTCGTCTAGGAAACGTTTCAATAAGTGCAGCAGCAACGAATTACCGAAATGAATACAAGAAAGTAGATGTCGTGCAAGACCTCTGTTACGTTAATAATGAAGAACAGAGCATTATGGGGATATAATAGGTATGGAGTGTTTGATGTCTGTGGAAAGGCGTAATGGTTCCTCGGCTTAGATTTGGTACTTCAGCAGTGTGCATGACGCCAGATGTGCAATCAGGAATGAATGTGAATCAAACGACTCTGGGACGTCTCGCGTCGGGAGCTCACGGAAAGACGACGAATGAGGCTGTAAAGGGGATATGGGAGTGACAGGTCTTGAAGTAAAGGAAGCTGAGAGCAAAAGGAGATTTGAAGAGAGGCTTAGGAATACGAAGGAGAGTAGATGGACAGAGAAGGCGTTCAGGTATTCGTATATATTGAAACAGGATGGACACAAAGTGAAGAAGAAGAACTAAAAGGCTCACCAGTAATTATATGGCAGGCGGTGTGGACGACAGGGCAACGAAAAGCATTAGGTGAAAAGTCAGAGAGGCGGACAAGATTTATTGAATGACAGCGATGGAAAAGAAGCCGGCTCTCATAAATTTCCGAAAGGGCAAGAATGAAGTAAGGCGGGAGAGGTTTTATGATAATTTAAAGGGAAGCGCTTTACTGTTCGAAGTGATGTCGGGTTGCCTTAAAACACGTAGTCGCAGAGCGACAATAAATAAAAAATTAGAACGCCTCCTCGCGGTGGTCTAATGGCTAAGGTTCTCGGCTACAGACCCGCAGGTCACGGATTTGAATCCCGGCTGCAGCAACTGCATTTTTGATGGAGACGAAAAAGCTGTAGGCCCGTGTGCTCATATTTTGGTGCACGGTAAAGAACACAGATGGTCAAAATTTCCGGAGCCCTCCACTACGGCGTTTCTCATAATCATATGGTGGCTTTTCGATGTTAGGCACAACTTATCAATCAATCAATCAATCAATCAATCAATCAATCAATCAATCAATCAATCAATCAATCAATCAATCAATCAATCAATTAATCAATTAGATCAATCAATAAAGAAGAAGAGCATTGTACATGCTATGGGGAAGCTAAAAACAAAGGAACATGTTCTAATTGATTGCGGCGATATCCACCCAGGCATACGGGTAGGTACAAGCCTACATGAGGCATTGGGCTTCAGGGACAAACATGGAAAGCAGAACACGTCCGCGATAGAAGCATGTAAGAGGTGGTTGGAGTACCAGTGGCAGAAAAGTAGAGATAAAGGCCAGAAATAACGCAAATGTAAGGTCATTCTGCCTGAAGAGGCAAAAAGATGGAACACAAATTTATAATTATAAAAACACGAAAAAAACGAGCCCTTAGGAATACACTTCTTTCACACACACACACACACACGTATATATATATATATATATATATATATATATATATATATATATATATATATATATATATATATATATATATATAGGAAAGAAGTGTATACTTTAGGGCTCATTTTTGTGTTTTACACAATATTAATGAGATCTAACAGACAATAATGCCAAGGAAAGTATAGGGGAAGATATTAGACCGACTTGTAATGTAAATGTGAAGGAAAGTGAGTGAAAAGATTACTTGCCGTGGGCAGGATCCGAACCTGCGACTATAAATATTGTGTAAAACACAGAAAAACGAGCCCTTAAGTATACACTTCTTTCCCTAATTCATTAACGAGGGTCTCGTACTGGCAGACCTATTGCCTTTAGGTTGTATACGAGGGACTGTTGGTCAGCTGCCCACTCGTAATAAGTTCACGTGCTACGTGACGCCAAATAGGCTCAAAAGAGTGTGTTACACTCGCTGCCATGGCTACTGGTGGCACTGACTGACACTCCTTCGTTTAATTCACATATAAACCCAATAAAGTGGCTGGGGGGATAGCTGTCGTGGTAGCTCAGTGGTAGATCACGAACGCGTCATTCGAAGGTCGCAGGGTCGGATCCTGCCCACGGCAAGTTAATTTTTCACCCACTTTTCTTCATATTTACATTACAATTCGGTCTAATATCTTCGCCGATACTTTCCTTGGCATTATTGTCTGTTAAATCTCATTATATATATATATATATATATATATATATATATATATATATATATATATATATATATATATATATATATATATATATATATATATATATTGTGGTAAAGCCTTTGAACAGTGGGTCGTCCTCTTCAGCGCCTTCTAGTGGGTCGCCCTTTTCTTAAGAAGAAGAGCAGCTCGTGCAGAGAGTCGATCCCCGAATTGACTGTCGCTGTCGTGAATCATCGCTGAGTGTCCGCCAATAAACCGCTTAACAATTTGGTGGAGAGTGCTGAGAGTGCTGTGCCCTTCAAACACCTTCGGTCAGCATTCGATGCCCTTGGAGCTTCGATCCCGTACCGTGCCTCCAACCATGTACCAAGACGCCGCCCAGCAAACGCTTCCTCCTACGCCGACGCCATGTCCCGGTGTCCCCCGCATCCGCGACCCTCCTGTCTTCACCGGAGCGGATGGCACCGACGTCGAGGACTGGCTGGCCATGTACGAACGCGTGAGCGTCCCCAACCATTGGGACGAGGCAGGTAAACTCGGCAACCTGTTTTTCTATCTCGCGGGTGTGGCCGGCATGTGGTACAACAACCACGCATCTGATTTCCCGACATGGTCCGCTTTTAAAACCGCTGTCGTCGACGTGTTTGGCCGCCCGGCCGTTCGTAAGCTGCAAGCTGAACAGCGTTTACGTGAACGAGCCCAGCAGACCGGCGAGTCCTTCACAAGTTATATTGAGGACATCCTTGACTTGTGCAAGAAAGTCGACCTGAACATGTCAGAGGCTGACAAAATCACGCATGTTCTAAAAGGCATCGCCGACGATGCCTTCACCATGCTCCTGGCAAAGAACCCCCGCACTGTGGCAGAAGTCATCATGTTATGCCAAAGTTACGACGAGCTGCGGCGGCAGCGCTTGATGACCCGTCGCCCGCCACCACGTGATGCTGATCTCTCGGCCTTGTCAGCAGTTCCTGACCACGCAACCTTGCTCGCCGAAATCAAGTCGTTCGTGCGTGAGGAAGTTGCCCGCCAGGTCTCTCTACTGGCTTTTGCTTCCCCACAACATGCTCAACAGCCATCCAGTACACTTCTACCTCCGCTCCGCCGAGCCATTCAGCAGGAAATCGCGGAGGTCGTCCCTGAATACCACCAGCCGCCTCCTGCATCGGTGCCACTCAGCTACGCCCAAGTTGTCGCCAGGCCGCCCCCACCGATTTCTGTCGCTGTTCCCCTAAATTACACCGAACCCGTCGCGAGGCCCCAGGCCTTTGGAGAACCTGTCTCGCCTACATACGCCGGCGTCACCCACGTGCCCCGAGTGCCGCCTACCATGCACTCATATCAGCAGCCGGCTCGCCAATCGCGTTCTGCGACATGGATGCGACCCGCGAACCAATGGCGCACTGCTGACAATCGCCCCATCTGCTTTGCTTGCGGTTGCGTTGGTCATGTAGCACGATATTGCAATCGTGTGCAGCAACCGCAGGTCGCCTCCAACTCTCCCAGCCAGTCAAGCCGCTTTTATGACCAACCGCCGCCTATGTCACCGTCGTCCCGTCCTGCTCCGTCTACCCACCGTTCACCATCTCCACGACGTCGCTCACTGTCGCCGATGCGGCCACGTCCACTCGCAGGCGACCAGGAAAACTAGTCGTCGCAGTCCACGAGGCAAGGGCTGCGACGCTGTCGAACTGCGGAAGCCCCCAGGAAAGCCCGTCGAACGTGATAGACGTGCTTGTGGATGGCGTTCGTGCATGTGCCCTTGTAGATACTGGAGCCGCCGTATCCGTGATGGACGAAAAACTTAGCCGATTACTGCGCAAAGTGACCACGCCGCTTTGCGGGCTCTCCCTCCGTACAGCCAGCGCCCAAAGCATTCACCCTACAGCGATGTGCACAGCCCGCCTTATGATTCAGGACGTGATGTATGCGGTCGAATTCATCGTAATTTCTTCATGCTCTCACGACGTCATCCTAGGATGGGATTTTCTCTCCCGCCATGACGCCGT